GTAAGCAAACTTGAAAGATAAAAGTCCAAACACGTCTGCAGCCGATTAGGTGCGATGAACTGTAGCCAGCCCCCTCCCTCCCCATCCGAAAATATGGCCAAAACAGAGCAATCAGAGCAATCTCATTTACGTGTTAGTCACACTAGGCTGACTGGTGTCTGCTGTCTTGTTGTGTGGCTGTTGGCTGGCTTGTTGTATGCCTCACGACGGTTCACACACGCAATGCCTTTGGGCCGGGGCAGGATAGGTAGTCGTATTTAAATTAAATACGTGCCTGCCACGAAAGATGCAAATCGTGTTTGTACTCGCTGCAAATAGCTAGTTTCATGTCGCAATTTAATCAGCAGCAGCTTTGACTTTTCACTCCACAACATCAATTGTTGCGACACTTTTCCGAGAAAGAAAATAACCTGAATTGCTGCATGCCTTCAGGCGCCAGCTTCTCACAGATATGTATACATATGTAAACATTTATATATATATACATATATATATATATGGCATATGACTTCACAGTCCCAGCCACGTGTGGGAAGCGACAATAGAGCACCAGGAAGGTAGCTTGTGTATGACAAGTATATTGACAGGACACCGATTTCAACAGCAACAGCAACACACACATATATATATATACACAGATATCAAGAGTAGACACAGAGAACAGTTGAGAAGGCTGTAATCGACTATGAGATACCCTGAGTCCAGCTATTCAAAATTTAGTTCAAGTTTTACTTCTCATTCAAATGTAAGCATGCGTGGAACTGTTCTCATTTCTGATGGCATAGTTGGCATAGATACTGACAGCCTAAGGCAACGCAAACAGGAGAGAACGTTCCCCGTCGAGCATAGCCGACTGCGAAATACTCTGATACCACAATTAATACCAGCTGACAACAGGTAGCAGGCAACAGGGTGCGTCTCTAGCCAACAAATGCAAATCTTTGAAGGAGATTTTTTTTGGTAATCTACTCAGTCCAAGTCTGCCTTTCAAATTGTGCGCTTTGGCTTTGTAGTGGGCGTGGCGGAAAAAGGAAATGTTGGAAGAGGTTGCTAGTAACCAGAAGAAAACCCTTCCAAGTTTCGACAATTTAGCTCTTCAATTGCGAGAGTATAAAAATAAATAGAGATCATATTCAAGCATGTGTGTGTGCGGGTGTGTGTGTGTGTGTGTACATGTAATCGAAGATAACGGAATATAGGCTCGCTTCGATCATAATGCCATCCCTTTCTCACACAGACCACGTATAAACCTGATGAGGCCAGAGACGCCTGCTTAACGACAAATTTATAATACTCTCTCTCTCTCTCTCTGTCCCTCTCTCTCTCTCTCTCTGTCTCTCTCTATCTTTCTCTGCAAGGGTGTGATAACAAACAAGTGACTGTGAAGCAGGCAACGGGGAACGGGGAACACAGCTGACACCTGAAAGCGTCGATGGACAGGTGGGCAGCAGCAGCAGCAGCGAGTCTGTGTGTGTGTGTGTGTGTAGGTGTGTTGGTGTGTTGGTGTGTGTGTAACTTACTAGCTTGCTGACGAGGCTTACTCTGTTCAAATGTCTGCCTGTGTCCTTGTACCTGTTCCTGTTCCTGTTCCTGCCAGACTAATGTTTGCCCAGCACGCACTTGGCGGCTTTTTGGCTTACCGCCATGCGAGGAGCGCATTTGCCACTCCAACTCAATTGCAGTGTTTGCTTAAGTTAGAGTGGACACACATACACACACTCTCACACACACACACACAGACACACATACAGACACACACACACACACACACACAATTTGCACTTGGTAGTTGTGCGTGGTTCTTCGGATTGAAATTGAATTGGAAATTGAAATTGAAATTCGAGTCTGAATTTGAATTTGATATCGTTGTTTAATTAGCGACACTTTTCTATTATTATTCTATGCTTGCCACTGCAGCTGGCAACGCCAAAGAAACTCGACAGAAGCATGGCAATAGTACCTGGTCCTTCTGGATCCTTGGATCATTTGGATACTGCTGGCAGGCACTGAACCCATTCAAATGGCCAACAACGGTTAACAAGATTTGTGTGTAGAACGCAGAGCGAAGCATTGTCGACCCCATAAAGTCTATATACATATATGTGCTCGTTCAGCAGAGTCGAGAAAGCCTTGTCCATTTGTCCGTTTAGCGACTGTAGACCTCAAATTTGGACTATAGTTTCACGTATTCCCCGAGCAGATCAAGTTTATTTCATTTGATGATGACAATTTTGAAAGCAGATACTTCCCGTTATTATATAATGTAGATTGACATATGATTGATGAAGATGATTGATCAAGATCCCATACGAAACCTCCAAGTTCGAGTCCAAAACATATTCTCATATTGAACTCATTATTAGCAGCAGACGCGAGCATTTTCACTATATCAAATGCGGAAGGGAAATTGGGCAATAAAACTAGAATATATTTAACAGTTGTGTGCAGGGTATATCGTAGTCGTGCTCACTCCACTACAGTAAGAATACTTACTTGTTTTTGTTGTGGTTTTTTGTTTTTTGTTTTTATTCTTTTCTATCTTTTTCAATTCAATTGGATTGTATTCTGTATGTGTGTGTGTGTGTGTGTGTGTGTGTGCGTGTGTGTGTGTGTGAGTGTGGGGGGATGTTTTCAGTGCATTTCTTGGATTTACAGACATCAGTCACTTTCAACAACAACAATTAATGATAACTGGCTGTTTATCTCTATATCTTCCGTTTCCTCTCTCTCTCTCTTTCTCTCTCTCTCTCTCTCTCTCTCTCTCTCTACTTGTGTGTGTGTTTAGCACACGTGCTCAGCAACAACAACAACAACAACAACAACCACAACATAATAAAAAATCGGACACCATGTTTTGCTCGTTTTGTTCATTTTTTATGAGAGCTATTTGTCATTTCCTCTACAAACACTCACACACACCAACACACACACACCAACACACACACACACACACACACACACAGAGAGAGAGAGAGGGATTCGTATATAGAGTGAACTAGGATATATGGGCGAGAGTCCGTCTTGCTTGTGTCCATCAGTTAACATCCATCTCACTTTGCTCAGCCATTTTTCTTGTGGCTGCTTGTTATTGTTATTGTTATTGTTATTGTTGCTGTTGCTTGTCTTTTCTTGTATTTTGCCGTCATTTTTCGTTTGATTTAATCATAATTCTGTCAGAGCACGTCAAAATGCCATCCCCACACCCCCTCACTATTCAAGCTGTTCCTCACGCCAACAAAAGAGAACTGAGGACACAGAACACAGCACACAGGATACGACAGGACGCAGGACAATCGACGTTGAGTCAACATTGAACAAGTGTTTTCCGGAGCTGCTAATATTGTTCTTCTTATGCTGCCTGCCATTCCCCACTCCCCACTTCCCATTCCCCCACGGCCCCTCCCTCTACAGCCCACTCGCTGCTCTGCTCTGCTTTGCTCTCTTAAATTGCATTATATAACATTTTGATTCGATTTGATGCGATTCGATTCGATTCAATTCGTTTCGATTCGACTCGATGGCAAACATCAAATCCTTCAAAAACAAAGTGTTCTTATTCATTCAACATCTATATCTATATATATATATATGTATATCTATCTACATATATACATATATCTATATATATAATAAATATTTAATTAATTTAGGTAACTTGTAAGCGAGAATCAGCAACTTTTGACAGTTACTGTTTACTGGTAACTTCCCTAAGAGATCGATGGAAAATTGGTTGGCCACGCCCACTCCGCTTACCCAAACCGATACACCTGTTAGTGTAAATCGATAAAACCATTTATCACACACACTTTGAAGGCCAGTCAGCAAATTTGAAGGGCATATTGCCAGTGGCAGTCTTCAAAAATCGGATAAGGGATAAGCTACAGTTACCAAACTTGGAGGGAAGATTACTAGGAAGCTATCTGCCATCATTTTAAAGGCAGACTTGAAAGGTATTTCTTGGCTGGGTGTAGCCCTGTTCTTTGCTAGTTGGGGGTTTTTAAGATTTTTATTATTTTGCCTCAGCAACACTTGAAAGTAACTTTGTTGTAGAGCCTATTTGGTGTTTAGCGTCAGAATATATGAACAATATACCAAGAAACTCAAATATTTAAATCGCCTTCACAATGAAAACAGAAGTAATATTCATCGATCGGACATTGTATCTACTAAAGAAGGTGGATTCATCTTCAAAAGCGATCAAACAAATTTGGCGCATTAATCAAAAGGTTAGCAAATCTCGGAATTTGCTGAAGGTGTACGGCGTGAAAGTGGTCGGGTATGTGGACGTGGCCATGGAAGAGGCCAATGGTGGGGTAGAGCCAATGGAAGACGACTTCGATGAAGAGGAAGAATTTGTTAATGATGTATCGATGTTATTGGAGCATATTTAAAAGATATTAAAAATGTAATTGTTGGATAAATTATTCATCCTGATCCTCTTCTACTTTTCTACTGCAACGAAGAATTCATCGTCCACGTCCACCTTATCCTGGTCCTTGCAACTTTCTCTCTTGTATACAGCCTTTTCATATGCACTGAACGAGTAAGTACAGTGGAATTACAGTGTTATTGGGTGGCAACTCTGGTTAACAGATCTAACAGCAGCATTAGCATCAGTCGTGGAAGAACAGCCCAACGAGAGAGTCCTGAAGTCGTCAAAGATGCCGAGCAGCAAAAGTTGCGTCGAGGAAATAAGTCTTTCCTTTATAAAGTCGAACATTATGTTGTAAATGCAATACTCATATTTCACTCATATACTTGTAACAATTCTATTTATAATAAATAGCACACAAATACATGCCTAATGCAGACGATATTTATTTAATTATCTGGCTCAAATGTTGCCAGACGCACAACGAGCGAATTGTCTCTGGCAGAGCATCTGGCAGTTGTTTACACCTATCTGGCAGCACTTGAGGCGAATATTCGCCAGTGTTGCCAGTGTGCGTAGGCCCACCTTAAATACACACACACACACACACATTTATCTATTGCAGATGTTAAGCTGTGACGTCATCTAGCGTTAATTTTTGGTCATGTTGCCCAATAAGGCAAAAACCACTCAAATTGCTAGATTTATTATTTATTCGAGTCGAGTTTTTATTAACTAGACAATTGGCTGTTGTTGTTGTTGTTGTTGGACTGATCTCATCGACGCCCACGCCCACTTTGAAAAATAGCGTTTCTTTGCGTTGCAGTTTGGTGGCTGCCACAGTTGCCACAGTTGCACCGACTAAACGGCCTTCACCTTGGCCGTCTGCAGCTGCTGCTTGGACTTAACTGTAAGTTGATCGAGTTAGCGAGTTGCACTACTTTTGTTGGCCAATCTTGCTGCAGTTGCTTACCTGTGATCAGCACATCTGCATCGCTGCTGCTGCTGCTGCTGCTGCTGTTGTCGCCGTTGTCGCTGCTGTTAATGTTGCTGTCTCGCTCTAGCAGCTGCTTGCGCAACTTGCGCAAATAGTTAGCTTTGTAGGCATCGCTGGGCTTGCCGCCCAATCCGTAGCTCACCTCGAGCACCGTCAGCGGAATAACGGTCGAGGACACTGCAACCAGATCTGCAAATCAATCAGAGCATATATACATATATATATATATATATATATATACAGTTGCGGTCAACATAATAGTAGCGCTGCTTCTCATCTGCATTTACACAAAAATATGACTCATTTTATGCTGCTCAAATCGAATCAAAAATTGGGTTTCTCATCTGGGATTGTTTTACAACACTAAAATACTTTTATATTTTAGAAATATTATTCAGTCGCAGGCAAAGCTGAGCAAAATAAATATTCATTTAAAATCAGTAAAATATATATAAAATAAATTTTAAATAAATCTTCAAATTAAGTATTGAGTATATTTCGATTACAAAAAATATATATACAGTTATAATAATAAATTTGAAGAAAAAAAGTGTGAAAAATCATCATTTTGTTCATAATTTTAAATTAAAAAAATTAACGAAAAAAACACTCTTCAAAATGTGAACTTATTATGAAAATTAGAAATAAATAAATCATTTTTATTATTTATATATATATATATATATCTATATATATATATGTGTATATTGTTTTGTTTTTAGTCTGTCACTCACCGGCCTCGTATTTCTCGTCTGGATTGCGCTTGTAGAGCATGGGCGAGGGCAAAGCGTTGGCCAGGCCCACAGTCAGAGCCAGTGTGAGAGCCAGAAGCGTCCACAGCTTCCAGGGCGGCATCGTCATCGTGATCTTACCAATTTGTTGTCGCCGTCTTACCAATTTCGTTGAGGTCTGCGGCGTCAAAGAGCTGCTCGTTGACTGAATGCGAATGTGCGGCTTTTGATACAATTTCGCTTTTTCTTCTTTTTTTTGCACGTGGGCGCAAACGGCCTCGGTGTTGGCACCTGTTTTCGAGTAGAGTGGAGACACGCTATGTGCAATACAAATAATAATAATAATAATAATGCTAGTGAGTGCATTGCGCTTTTAAATTTATTTATTTTAGTCAATTTTCAGGTGCAAGTTAGCGAGGCACGACTGTATTTATATTATACATTTTTATTTTTAGCGTTTTCCCACAACAGTTGCAGTTGAAATTCAAATTTAAAATAGGGGTTCGTTTTACAGCAGGCAGCTTTTGTTCGTGGCGTGCAAAGTGAGGCACACTCACACAGTGCTGTAAAATTGCACATTCTGTGCTAACGCACAGCTGAGAGTGAGAGTTGCACACAAAACTATCGCTACTAGCGACACGTGATATGGTCACACTCGACGCGTTACAGAGTCGCAGGCACATCGAATTGGTAATCGACGAGCCACCACAATCAATCGGTAATTGGCAGTGTTTTGTTTTTTAATGCACGTTCAATGAAAAATAATTCGCCATCAATTGCAAATGGAACGGTGACATAAATGAATTGCACAAACTGAGACGCGCTTGAATTCGACGAAGACTCGCGCAGCATAGCCCAAAACAGTAGAATAGTGTAGAGAACGCAACAACATCAGCAGCAGAAGCGAAAACAAAAGCATGAGCTGAGACTGGACAAACAAACACATTGAAAAGATTATTTCAAGGCAACGCTGCTCAACGCAGGGGAAAGAAACTTCAAGCAAGGTGACGAAGAACAGACAATAAGCAAGGCGCAACCAACAAATTGCAACCACGTGTATATATAACTATATCTATATATATATATATATACATACATATATATATATACATATATATATATACACACAAATATATATATGCATATGAATGCTAACTGGCATATAAGGATAATACGAAGAGCAAATGCATCTGTGACAAAAAACTCAAAACATTACAGCAATAATAACAGAGCAGCATTCTCATTCCCTCACCCCCCAAAACGATACTTGACTGCAAACGAATAACAGGAACAGCAGCAGCAACAACAACAACAGCAGCAGCAGAAGCGTCCCCAGCATCATCATCATAAATAGCAGCAGCAGCGGTAACAGCAACTGTAACAACAGCAGTAACAGCAACTGTTACATCAACAAACTACAAAACCAACAACAACAAATATGAGCACAGTGTTTATAAACTCACGCAAGAGCCCCAATGTGCTAAAGAAACAGGGCACAGACCAATGGGTCAAGCTGAATGTGGGTGGCACCTACTTTTTAACCACCAAAACGACGCTTTCCCGTGACCCCAATTCGTTTCTTTCGCGTCTTATACAAGAGGACTGTGATTTGATATCAGATCGGGTGAGCTTTACCATATATATATATATATACATACATACATCACGTACATCCGTACATCAGTAAATCTGTAAATCAGTTGTATTTATAGCGGCCACTGCGCTTTTGTAGCTGGCAGCTATAATTATAGTCATAAACACCCAATACCAAAAATTCGTAAGGCATATACACGCACACACACACGCGCGAGTAAGCACTAGCAATGCAGGTCATTCTGCAAACAAGTAGCTGAAGCAGCAGTCGCCGTCGCAGTCGGTGCTCCCCCCTCCCTTCTACTCCACCCCCAGCAAAGTGCATATATAGCTTTGACGTCGGCGTTGGCATCGCAGTGGGCTGCACAGGCTACGTTGCACTAGTTTGGAATCTCTACACAAATGCACACATACACTTCAACTGAATATGTGTCAATGTTTGTGTGTGAGTTTTTTGGTCACTGGAAACCAGAACACACTGCAAATGCAAATAATTTCAATACGCAAATTATTATAACATCTGCAAAACAGAATTCATAACAAATACCAATAAATAAATATATCGTTTAGCATTTTTTCCATCATAAATAGGTGATCAAACATACACACACGTATGCGGTTATTATTATACTTGTTATGTTCCATTTTGCACGATTTTATAAACAAAACAACGAACCAAATACGAAATGCCCAAATACCGCTACACTTACCGTTAACTTTGCCGATGCCTTGTTCAGTTTTTGCTTCAGCTCCAACGTTCGCGCATAAAATAGTTTCAATCTAAAGTTTCCATGCTTCTTCTTCTTGGTTTTATTTACAAACTGTTTGATTGTTTTTCTAGCTGTGCGCGCTCGTTTTTGTTATTGATTAAATTTTTTGATGCAAGCCAAATTGAACAACATCCCCCCCTCCTACCCCCTCCTACGCCTGAAGCTCAGAACACGCCAATTAAGGCACCCCACACAAGTGTATATGTATGTATATATATGAGCATTCATTTACCTAGATGAATGGCAGGCACCCCCTCCCCCGGGTGGGAAGAGCCAAAAGTATGGCTAGCTTTATTGTTTTTTGATATTTAAATTGTTTAAAAACCGAAAGAATACCCGAATAAAAAAAAAGCGAAGCCACGACAAATGCCAAAAAAAAACACACACATGTACACATGCACAAAGAACACAATGGGAAATGACATTTACTGCATGCAGGAGAAAGAGACCGAAAGCTGGCTGGCACACAAGTGGCCCAACTATATATATATACATATATATATATATGTGTGTAATGCACATTTGTAATGCATGAACCATCAAATCAAGAAGAGATTGTCTGTCAAGCAATCGGTTGTTTGCCTGTCGGCCACAAAATTGACATATTTCCAATAAGCATAAGAATTGTTATGACTAATTGGATTTTGCTAGTGGTGGCATACAATTATTCAATAATTTATTTTATTATTTCAGGATGAGACGGGTGCATATCTAATTGATCGAGATCCAAAGTATTTTGCGCCGGTGCTGAACTATTTGCGGCATGGCAAACTCGTCCTGGACGGCGTCTCGGAGGAGGGGGTGCTGGAAGAGGCCGAGTTCTACAATGTGACGCAGTTGATCGCCTTGGTTAAGGAGTGCATCAGCCACAGAGATCAGGTAAAAGGACTGCCACTCCAATTGATTCTACCACTAATCTGATACATTCTTTTTCCATTCTGAAACAAAAGCGACCTCATGCGGATAAGAAGCGCGTTTATCGCGTGCTGCAGTGTCGCGAACAGGAACTCACCCAGGTAATGTCCATGTGCCGCAAACGCATGACAATTGTCTGCTTGCTATGATGATGCTGACTTGCTTTGCCTATTTTGCAGATGATCTCAACACTGTCGGATGGCTGGCGTTTCGAGCAGCTGATTAGCGTCGGCATGCAATACTCGAATTACGGTCCGTTCGAAAACAACGAGTTCCTCTGCGTCGTCTCCAAGGAGTGCGGCTCGACAGTTGGACGCGAACTGGAGCTCAACGATCGCGCCAAGGTGTTGCAGCAGAAAGGATCACGAATGTAAGCACAAAAATAAGAGCATCAGCAATGCGAGTCCTCTATCTCTCTCTGTCTCTCTCACACACCAACATTCTTTCCATCTATTTGTCAGCCTGTCTCTCTCTCCCACACTCACACACAAACACACACTTTCCCAGTCGTATCCCAGTCGACTAATGTCAACTAATACATATGTAATTATTGGCGTATGTGTGTGTGACTTATTTAATTGTGCACTTGTGATGTGTGGTGCGGCCACGGGGGCGGGAGAGGGGAGGGCAGTCATTTGCGCAGCAAATCAGGCCATTTGGCATGTGACATTGTTGCCCCTAATTACAAAGTCATTAATAGCTGATAAGCTGATAAGTCGGCTATTTTTGCTATCTATTTCCGCTCAACGCATTTCAAATTGACACAAAGAAAATAAATGTTGCCAATTTGAGTGTGTGGCTGCCAGCATCAATGTCCCCACCGAAAGCACAAAATCAACAAAATGGCCATAAAATCAACATAAACAATGCAAAGTCAAAAAAAACTGTAGGCAGAGGTACACGTAACATGCAAGACAAGGACAGCAACAGCAATAATAACAACAGCAATAACAACAACAACAACAAAAACAACAACTTTTGTCAATTAGTCCATTATTCAATATGAGTAGTTGTAAGCGATTCAAAAATGTTAACGGTTAACTGCTTATGCTCTCTTTTACACATTATGCATGCCTAGGTGTTTAAGTGTTTAAATGACACACTGTTTAATTGTAGCACATTTCATAGACGCAAAAACTTTAATAAGCTAATATGTGAAGAGAATCGATAAATATATATATATATATATATATATAAATATATAACATATGACTGTTAACCAAGCAAACCGCTAAAGCAGCATTTATATGCATAACAGCATTTATGCATGTGTGTCTTACATACACACACACGCATACATACATACATATTTGTAACTGTTATGCTTGTATCATTGTAGCTACGTTTATCCTCGTACACACACATACACGCATACATAGTTGTTAGATATATATATATATTTGTGTGTGTGTGTATGTTGTAGTTAGCCTCTGCTTTTCTCTTTTGCTTTGCTCACTCGCTCTCACTCATTCACTCTCACTTCCTCGCTCTGCCTCTCTCTCTCTCTCTCTGTCTGTCTCTGTCTCACTTTCTGTTTCTTTCTGTCTAATTGCAGTCTTGGAATTTAAAATGCTTTCACTTAGAGCGCGTGAACCAAACACCCCCAACCAAAAAAGTAATTCCCATCATCAAACACCAAGTTCAAAGAAAACAACAACATCAACAACAATTAACACAACAATCAAGCACAACATGCATAACAAGTAAATCAACAACAACAACAACAAGAACAACAATATTTGAGATCCTTTTTCCAAAGGTTCTGCTGCTGTCAATTGGAATTGAGGCAAGCGCTCAATCAGTCAGTCTCTCAGTCTGTCAATATACACGTATATGTTAATCACATCAATTTGGTAGCCAGCAAGCATTAACCCTTACGTAAGTTTTTCACAATGCAATTGAAAACTTTTTCTTTTCTTTAATTTTTTGTTGCATTATTTTGAAAGGGGGTAGACATATACTTTAATTATTAAATCAATTTTTAAGTGCAAAATACATTTTTTTCTTTATATTCTTTTTAATTTGTGATAAGTGTGTGTGTTGTGTTGATATTCTCAAGGCTTCTCGCAAATACAAACACAACGGAAAAGAACAAACCGACCTATCGATCGATAGAGGGCGCTCTTCAAGCCCACCACACTCAACACCAGATGTCCCTATTTATTATTGCGCTTCCCTTTTTGCATTTGAAGTGTACATTAGCGCAAAAAAATAGGGAAGTGGGCAGATAGGGGATGGGTGGGGAGGGGCGGGGGTGTGTTGGATTCCTTCTTCTGTACAGTATAAAGCAGAACACCAAAAGCACCGCCAAAACATTCTTAGCCGATAGATATATTTATCTGTGTGTGTGTCATGCACCAAAATCAGTTGAATGAAATGCATATGTGTGTGATTATGGTACAAGATGCTGAGCAGTAACAGGAGGAGAAGGAGAAGAAGAAGAATAACAACAATAAGAGGAAGAAGATAGCCAAACACTTTTCAACGCACACAGATTGGAAGCGAATTATGAAATAGAACAGATTAGAAGATAGCATATACCAGAAAAAGGAAGTAGTAGAAGAAGAAACACCAACAACAACGTTTATAAGAACTTAAGGATAAAAACAAACGTTAAATGTACTTTTAGATGTTTAGCGGTTTTATTGCGCTTACAACAAACACAGCAATAGTGTTGAGTAACGACGAACGATGAAGACACTGATAAAAAATACAAAAAAGGGACGCTCATTTATTGTAGCGATTTCTAAACGCACACACTTATAGTATATATATATATAAATATATATACATATGTGTAAAAAAGGAAAAGAAATAACGAAAGACGAAAACACAAACACAATAAAAATAATTATATATTAGACATGGAAGCAGCAGCAACACAAAACACACTGAGAATCGTTTGCTTTTAAGTGTTTTTCCAAATTGTTGCACTCAATGAATAACAGGAAATTCGCAACAGGCTCGCTCCTCATTGATAATCAATTGTTTTAATCAATATTTATTTTTCGACTGTAAATTGACTATCTGGATATTGAAATATATATGTATATATATATGTGTGTGCTATGCTCCTGCTATTATGATAATACTAACAATAATAATAATAGTAATTGTAATAATAGAAGCTGGCCATTGTTATTATGTTAGCTGCCTGCGCTGACACACAATTAGAGAGACAGAGAGAGAGGGGGGAGAGAGACAGAGTGAGGGGGGAGAGAGACAGAGAGAGCTTTGGCATTTTGTCTATTGATTGTTGCGGCGACGACGCTGATTGGTGTGTTCATCATTTATGTTTAAGCTCTGTTTAAGCTGCATTTACATGCACACACACACACACACACACACATACACATGCATTTGTGTACGATAGATAAACACATACTAAGAAAGATGGAGCGTGTGAGCGTGTGTGTGTTGAGTGCCCCGTTTGCATAACAACCTTGAGCTTTATTTAACTAGCATTATTGCCTATTGCTAAAGCAAAAACAAATAAAGAAAAACAAAAAACATTTTGAATCACGACTGAATATTTATGTGAACTTGCACTAAAACAAAAAAAATAAATTCAAAAATAAAAACTGAAAACATAAACAAAAACAAAAAGGATAAATAAAATGCGGCGACGTTTGCTAGTTAAACGTATTATTAATTAATACTTATATGTATGTATGTATATAATTTTAAACTAGTAAACTAATTTATACACAAGAAATCAAGGAAATCGAGGAAATCAAAACGTCGCCAACCAATTCGCAACCATTTTTTGTAACCATTTTGAGTAATTGCGTTGTTCGATGTGCATCTAAATGCTAAGTAGAATAATGCTTACAATTATTTCGTAGCTTAAGCTGAAGCCCGACTCGAGCCTGGAACACAACTTTACAGTTAGCTTGTAATTATACCGAAAACAAAACAAAGCAAAAAAGTGAAATACGACAAACACAAACACAAAGCAAAAGAGAAAAGTAAACACACAAACAAAAGCAAAATCAAAATCAAAGTCAGAACACAATGCAATATGAGCCATAGCTATTAGCAGCAGACTCACCATACACACACACACACAAACACATACACACATGCATGCGGACAATTGCGGACGTGTGCAATAAGCCTATGCATATGTAGCGAGTGCGTCAAGCAAGAAGTAGTAGCGAAAGATGAAACAGAAGATGATGAAGAAGATGAAGAGAGTCTAGGCCTGTGCGTGCATATGTGCATGAGTGCGTCGAAGGAGAAAGATGAAGAAGAAATAAGGGCGACTAAGTCGCAGAACAAAAAAAAGAAGAAGTAGTAGCGAAAGCTATGGAAGCAGAAACGAGGAGAAGATGCAGACGAAGCAGCAGACATGCAAACATATAACATACTTATTAGAATAGCCCTACGTGTGTTAACCGTGAGTACTCATGCTTATGGAGAGTTGAGAGTGGAGAGTGGAGGAGAGCGCGTTACTTGATCAACATTCAATCGGTTGCAGTCGTGTCAGCCGTTACAGCCGTTACGACATGTGTACATTCTCACATAGTACGCAAGTACATCTAATAATGACTACCCACAATACCTATACAATACTTATACAACACTTGTATGCAAATGTAAATGTAACTGTAACTCTTAACTGTAACTGTAACTGTAAATGTAACTGTAAATGTAATGTAAGGCGACACAGTGTGTCACAAATACAAATACAAATACATACATACATATATACATACATACAAACATACGTGTATAATCAACCGAAATGTGAAGGCTTTGGCTCACAGAAATAATATTTCAATAATTGAATTAAAAATCCCTTTTTTAAAAAAATAAAAAATTAAAACAAAATGAAAACATGTATTTTATTTTAATACTTAAGATCGCTTTTATTTTATTATTACTTTTTGTACCTTGATTGACTATTTGTAATTATAGGGGAAGAAATTATCGAAAATTTTCGTATAATACATACAAATCAAACAAATCTCTTTCGGAATCATCAACTGCGATTATATGCGATATAGTCATATCCTGTCCGTCTGTCCAATTGTCCGATCTGTCTGTCCCTTCTATTCGCACTCATCCTTCTCAATTGGGTAAAGCAGCGAAACGAATATTTATTGGAAAAGCTTGTGGAAACTTTGGCAAAGTTATTCGGGTTGGAAGCATTGGTAAACATTTTGTACTGGGCTGGAAGGCTTTTGCTGAACGCTTTTGATGAAGCTTCAAGTCCTTGCGATAAAGTTTCCAGCGCAATTTGACACACACCCAAAGCTTTTTGCATCAAGCTAAATCCTTTTCTTTTAGTAGATTGCTTTCGCAATAAGCTTTTTCTGCAAGTTTCAAATTTGAAGTTTCAAACCTTTCTAATTTGGCTGGAAAGCTTTAAACTGAAACAGACCGATAGACAATTATTTTATATATATTTATATATCTATTATATATGTATTTATTTATTCCCAATCTGTATCACCTTCTGTAGGGACTGGAAAAATGAACAGCTTCATGAAAACAAGGTAAGTTCTGATAAATATAATGGTTGTTGTTGTCCTGAAAAGGATATTGGTGGGAAATTGGAGCCAAAATTGCTTCATGAAATAATATTCACAATAATCTAAAAGACTGATTATGGCCAAAATGTACTTGCCACAATCTGTTGAGTTTTAACCAAATTATGGCATTGGTTCGAATTTTGGAAAGTTAGTTCCAGGGATCTACCTGGAACCTGGGATCTATGCACTTGGCCAGGTGTGTTTAAATTGATTTTGCTATTTGTACCCATTGTAAAATATATTCTCGATATGCCTGGGCAATACAACTAATTTGAGGTATATATTAGCAACTTACACCTGATGGCATTCTCTTGGAGTCGCTCAACAAATTTGTATATTTATTTTAGGAATTTGCAATTCCAGCTGAATAATCCAACAAAAAAAAAAACAATCGCTATTTTAAGCACACAGAACATTGCTCAACACCTCAATTCCATTGTACTTTTGATTTAAACAGTTTTTAATACTTTTTGGAAACTAAGTTCGTTGAAATTCAACAGCTTTGAATGTCAACGAAAACCAGCTGGGTGAAAACAATCAAATATCAAGTCGAGCATCGATATTCGATTTCAGTTCAGTTGTTGTTTTTTTTGTATCTTTGACTCTGCCACATTTATCGACTAAAGAAGGAGGCAAGTTGTGGGGGGGGGGGTGTGCTTGGGGCATATTGATTAGAATTTTGCGTCAGTTGCCAACTTATGCAAAGTAAAAAGAAATGTTCAGTTGCGTGTGAGCCGTACACACACACACCACACAGAGACACATAAGCAGAGAGAGAAGCTGTTGAAGCTGTGCCGTGTGCAATTTGCCTATGAATATCTCATGAGCTGTGTGTGTGCGGGTCACACGCAACTGAACATTTTTTTTTACTTTGCATAAGTTGGCAACTGACGCAAAATTCTAATCAATATGCCCCAAGAATTCCACCACACTGGTTCCTAGGCTGTTTCGTGTGTTCAACTGCAGCTCTATAGCTGCCCTACCCTTGCCCTCCCTTCCCCTCAAGCATAGCTTCAATGCGCTTAACGAGACTGCGACGGCGACAGCGGCTGCGACGGCGACTGCGACTGAGGCAGCAACGTTTTTAGCACGTTCGAAATGTTATTTCCCATATATATTTGGCAAGCAGATTCATGCACGCATATCGATATGGCAACATTAAAATTTAACTGCGAACTGCGAACTGCGCCAGCAGCAACCCCAACGCAAAATCATCCACATCCACATCCATATCCCCGCCCCTGCCCCATCCCCCAAAAGGGGGGGTATATTGCGAGGGGGGCTGCGCTTGCCACCACTAAAACGCAGGCCATTGCCAAAACACGTGCACATTTATATTTATTCTAAACAAAGGAATAAAAACTTGTGTCGCCGCGCACATGAGACCTAAAACCGAAACCGGCCACTGACAGCTCCAGGCCCAGGACGCAGCACCCAGGAGAGAGGGAGCAGAGGAGGCAGGGGCACCATCGTCACACATAAACGACAGCAAAGTTTTCTTTTATTTGTATACCCTTGCGGGGGCGGGGGCACCTGGCTTGCGTCACCAAATATGCGACAGCGATGAAGCTGCCACTTGTCTAGCTTCAAACTAGCCTACAGGTATTTTATTTTATTTATTTATTTTTTATTTTTGTTTAAGAAATTTGAAACAATACTTTTTACATTTTTTTCATTTAAGAAATATAAAAATAAAATATGACTATTTTTGTCGCCTTACTGAACTTAAAATCATTAAACTTATTTTTAAAAATTACATATTTAATTATTAGTCATGCCACAAGCAATTATATTATTAATATTACTGCAAACCAGTGTCTTCTTTTTATTTGTTTAAAGACTAAAAAATATTACTTTTTTCGCGTTAGATGGGATAACATTTTTGAGCTCGTTGAATCAACAATAATTACGAAATAATAAATGTAGTTATTAGTTTTAAGATTGGCAACAACATTTATCGATTATAATGCAAAATAGTCTCTCGGTGTTTGGTTTTTTCTTTAATTAAAGTAAAGCGTAAAGTAGTTGGTGACCAACTCGGAGCAACTCCAACACCCAAAGAACAAAGAAAGCTGGTCACAGACAAGCCAAGCTGTCTTCCAGTTGGCTAAAATCAACAAAAATATTTAAGCAAGTAATATTCATGGGAACGAACAGTCTTGGCATACGCATTGTAGACTTAGAAATCTCCCAGCTAAACTAAACTCAGCCGATTTTGTGATAATGATGATGAAGACACCTTTAAAGCAAATCAGAGCAGACTATGTCCTAGGGAAACATGTCCTAAGTTCACAGCACATAGAAAGTTGGCGGGTTATTTACCCGCAAGAAGTCATCCAATAATAAGAAAGACTCAGTTTTCTTTTGCCTTGGATTATCAACTTTAGTTGATGAATCAACTCATTCTTAGGAAATTTCGATTCAATTATTGGTCAATCTGAGAAATATGAATCGACTTTAAGCTAGTTTCTTAGTTTTCTTTAATGTTTTTAGATATAAAATATGAAATGATTGCTTTATTTGGCTAATATAAAACTAAAAATTTGACTTTTCAACTTGAGTTGTTGAATGACTCGAATTCGAGCCATTTTTTAATTAAACCTTTCAGTAGATTTAAGATTAATGTGTGCTGAAATACGTATTCATTATGAGTCGTAATATAAATCGAGTGTGCTGCAACTATATATATATTTATATATTTGAAATTTCCTGTGTGCCTAGGCAAGGGTATTCCGTCTGCTGTAAGACGCAGATAAGCGTTTCCGTTTCCGTTTCCATTTCGATTATATAATTTTATTTTTTATTTAAACAGACGTCCAAGGCGCGAAGGCAGGCGAAAAACGCGTGTCCTTTTCTTTCCCATTTGTTGTTGTTGTTGTTGTGTTTGCCGTTAAGGACATTAGTGCGTTTGGCTTTTATTTCAAGGTTCTCTTTTTCTTCGGTCCATAGCTGTAACTATAGCCGTGCTATATAGCTATAGCTATAGCTATAGCTGTAACTGTAACTGTAACTGTAGCTAAAGTTGTAGCTGATGCTGATGCGAATGCGGATGCGGATGCGGCTCTAACACCGGTCAGGGCCTTGGGGAGTGCTCGTAAAGCGCAGCACGCAGCGAGCGTAAGCGAAATTTCATTGGTTTTTATGGTAACGATGCTGACTTGGTGACTGGCGCACCTTACATATACATATATATATATATATATATTTGTATATATATGTATTTGTATATATATATATATATATATATTTCGCATTCGCATTGAGTTTGACAGGGGGAGAAGCTTTCACTTTTCGCGCCAGCCAACAAGCGTCGCCAGATTGAAGACTTGCCTCGTTGGGGGTTGCAGCTGCATCGATGCCACTTCAGTCTCTCAGTTTCAAGTCATCTTTGGCACCTTCAACTGTGCAATAACGACATTGGCATTGACTCAGACTCCGACTCTGACTCCGACTCCGACTCCGACTCCTGCTCTGCCTTTGAGTCTTGTCTGTGGCAGCAGCAGCAGCAGCAGCGGCGTGGCAACCCTGCTGCGTTGGCTGTACGCGGTACGCCTGCCGTTCGTCCTTCAACCCCACAAACAACCCCAAAAAGTGCAAGATGTAAAATTGCACCACCAACGCACACACACGCACACACACATACACACACACAGAGTCGACACACACCCACTTTAACTTTTGAATAGTGCAAAAAGTGCACTCAAGCAGCAGTCGCAGCTGGGCTGAAGAGTTGGCGCGACATTCATGTGGCAGCCACCACCGTTTCACTTTCGTTTTGCACCTGCCACAAGCGGGGGTTGTTGCTGCAACTAACAACTGGGGGCAAGCAGCAGCAGCAGCAGCAACAGCAGCAACAGCAGCAATAATTCTATGTCAACATGACAAGAGCCAGCGGCGTCGCAGTCAACATTCTAATGCATGCTGCATGCTGTATGCCCCATGCAGCACTGTTTGCCATAACTTGAAAGGGCTGGAGCTAGAGTTGAGCCGCCCAAGGGTTGCATGCATTTTGGTTTATGCTTAGGTTTGGGTTTGGATTTGGTTTGAGGGCTAGACAAGCGTCTGGTTGCGTTTCGTTTCGTTTGGCTTCGTCTCGTGTCTGTCTAGTGCATCTAACTGTGCTGCCTTTCTTCCACCTTGTGTGTGTGTGTGTGTGTGTGTTGATATGAGTGGGCCTTTGTGCAACTCAAGTGCATGTCGCCAACGCCGTGTTAAGTGCGTCAAACAAAAGCAGCGACTGTCGACTGTCGAATGTCGACTGTCATCTGCTGGGGGCTGCTCTTCTCGCCCCCCTCTCTCCCATATATATATATATATATATATATATATATATGTGTGTGTGTGTGTGTGTGTGCGTGATTTTTGTGCAATTTAACCCCATTTTTGTGAGGCAAAATCTGACACTTCCTGACGCTGCCCCCTGCGTGTTCTGGCTTTCAATCGCTTCAATCGACAGCCAGCATCAAGATTAGGGACACAACTAATACTCTCACTCTCTCTCTCTCTCTCTTCTCTCTCTTCTCTCTTGTCTCTTCTCACTTCTCACTTGCACTCTATGCTATTTAATTGCAACTCCTGAGTGGGAACCTTTCCCTCCCCCAAAAGCTGTTTCTTCTTGTTTGCGTGTCTCGCATAAAACGTTTGTCAAACAAAAGCCCAAATCTATTATATGCACTTCATTTCCTGCCCAGACTGCTATATATATATATATACATATATATATATATATATACATATATATATATATATATGAGTTGAGTGCTTATGAAAATGAAATTGCATTCAAAGAGTTACGAGACAACAGTTGAGTTGCTAACCGAAGCGCCCATACTCTTTCTATACTCTTTCCAAATGACAATTGGCTGTGTAAACCGTTAAAAAATCAAATAAATATTGTTCACATCTAATTAAAAAATGATAAAAACGTTTTTTTTCAGCCACCAGCAACTAATACTGAACATAAA